AACCAATATGGTGGCCGCCAAGACTTAGTATCAAGTAAAATAACATAAATACAGTTCAGGAAGAAACATGGAAACTTAGTGAAGGCGTTAGAAAAATAAAAACTATAATAAAATAAAAATATTGACAACTCAAATGGAATCAAAAGGACTAAAAAATATACAACTAAAGGAATCAATAGGAATAAACACAAGTGTATACATGGAGCGATTTTCACACACAAAACATTCAAAATGGATCTTACACTCAGAAACAAATAAAAATCTAGGTTACGAACAAGCAGACGTAGCTCCAGCAGTTACAAAAGCTAATATGACAGTTAAAACTAAGCTCATTTTAAGCAAACTAAATTGCCGTTTCAAAAATCACCATCAACGTGTTTCTCTTATGGCACAATCCACTGCAGATTTACGACAAGTCAAAATCCCATGATATCGAGTATCGATAGGGCTTTAAGTCATTTAATTGACATGATCATGACGAGCATATAAGATGATGAACATAGAGATAAAATTTTGCAATCAGTCTAACACAGCGAAGTTTGAATTCTAGTTGAGCATTCAAAGATATCGGTTTCTGTTCTCATCAACTTTATATTTTGTCGTATTTGCAGCGAACATGGCTCGGTAAACAGTCCGAATGCCTTCAGGGATCTACAAATCTCTCATCAACAAACGTGTTATTTTCTCATTTGAAGTCGAGCAAACGAACAAAAGTGATCTTCGACACTTAAAAGGTGTGCTTAAACTCAGGAGAAAACGATTAGTCAAAGTGTTTATCTAAAAATTACTTTTTCTCTCTAAGCTTATGCCAAACATAGCTTGGCCTCAAAATGCCTGATTCGTAGGATATCACTGGAGGGGAGACTTCAGTAAGACCTGTGTTATTTGATAAGAGTTTTAGAAACGTAATGTTATTCCACATTGTACAATATAGTAAGACGGTTATATTCTAGCATATTTAAAATGTTTTAGCTATTTATTGCCTCATACATGCAATGAAGCTGCATGATTATTTCTACAAACCTTAAATATCAGTCAACCAGCTCGTTTTTACCTTCTTAGTTGCCGTCGATATATCAAATTAGGAAGTCAAGAAACGAAGTTGCTTTAAAAGAAATGTTTTAAATGAAAAAGGCAAACAAGCCGTTACAAACACGACATTTAGCAAAGGAATCTCTTCATCGAATTTATTATCAAGCTGTACAAGAACACATCCTAGTGTGGTCGTACAAGAGTTAGATGAAAGCACTTAGAAGTTCCATTTTTGAACATTTAATCGATTACAATCACTCCACTGATCCACAGGTTGACATCACGTTTCTTTATACAATTCGTCCGAATCTATCTAGATTTCTTCTTATCCAACTCCTAAAATAGCAAAGGCTCTTCGTATCCACGGGATGAAGCTAGAACTGTGTGCATAATAGAAGTGCGTCTTATCCTTATCTTTGTCATGGCCTTAAATCATTATTATTATTGCGATATTTCGTATTTGAAAATAACTCCCTCTCTCCTTCATTATTCCGCATATCCCTACGAACTTATTTATAACTGTTCCTGACATCACTTCATTTCATTTAGCCATTTTATTATCTTTAATTATTGTAACAAAAACATTTTAATTATCTTACTCCATTCCAATTATAATCTGTTGGTAACTTACTAATATTACATGACTTTCTATATGCACAGATTCGATCTTTCATTGTAATTACTTACATAACATAATTTGGGATGATAACCTAAGCATGTTTACTCATGGTTCATATGTGTTCACATAATGATTACTTGATTCTTTAAAAAATAATGCTTAAACAAAAATCTGTTTACAGGATTGGTAGGACTAAATTATGAAATAGTTAATTTTATTATGTATGAATGTAATATTTCAATTCAAGAGTCAATTAAACCCAGATCACCATGGAAAACCTGGAAGCATTGGATGTCCGTCTCTTCCTAGTATGGAACTCTCCAGCAGTGTGCATCCACGATCACATCTCGTGAGATTCGAAATTAGGACCTATCGGTCTCGCGTACGAAAGTTTAACACCTAGACCACTGAGCTGGCTGGCATTCAACAATGGTTATATCTAACTTCAACCAATCCACGGAATTGGAGAGATGCTGCTATACTCCGGTCACGAAGAGGAAAGTGCTCCAAACACTCACGGACTCGCACTGATGCTGTCCAAAGTAGCACAAAATGCACTTGTAGGATGGGAATCTCACGGATCCAGAATCATCAAAGCATCATTCAAAACAAAGAAAGAGGGGATCACAACGAATATCATCCAATATTATGCACCCACCAATGACAGCAACGATGACATTAAAGATCAATTCTACGAGCGGCTGAAGTCAATCATGGAGAAGTGCTCAAGAAACGACCTCACCATCCTGATAGGAGATCTAAACGCCAAAGTCGGAATAGACGTGTGACGAAATGGATGGATTGGGCGAGAGAAACGAAAATGGAGAAATATTTGCAAATCTGTGTGCATTCAACACATTGGTCATAGGGGGCACAATATTTCCACACAAGCGTATATACAAGGTTACATGGATCTCACCGGACCACACTACAGAGAACCAGATAGATCATAGTTGCATCAATAAAAATTCCGATGGACAATGGAAGATGTGAGAACCAGGAGAGGTGCTGATATAGATTCAGATCATCACCTAGTTGTGATAAATTTAAAACTGAAGCTAAAGAAGAACTGGACAACTGGACAAACAGCACTACAAAGTTTCAATACAGCCTTCCTTCGAGATACTGACAAACTCAATAAATTCAAGATAGCTCTCAACAACAGGTTCCAAACCTCACAGGATTTACTGGAGGAAGAAGAAACTACTATGGAGGACAACTGGAAAAGTATCAAAGAATCATTAACATTAACGTGTCAAGAGGTTCTGAGCCTCAAGAAGCATCATCATAAGGAATGGATCTCTATAGAAACACTGAACAAGATCAAAGAAAGGACGAGCAAGAAGACATAAATTAACAACAGCCGAACACGAGCAGAGAAAGTCGAAGCACAGGCTGATTAAATAGAAGCAAATTAGCAAGTGAAGAAGAGTATTAGAGCCGACAAGCAGAAATACGTGAAAGAACTAGCAACGACAGCAGAAAAAGCTGCAAGAGAAGGAAATATAAAACAGCTTTACGATACAACGAAGAAACTATCAGGGAAATACAGTAAACCAGAGTGACCGGTCAAAGAAAGAGAAGGCAGGCCAATCACTGAAATTCAAGAACAGCGGAACAGATGAGTAGAATAATTCGAGGAACTCCTGAATAGGCTGACTCCAATGAATCCACCGGTTATGAAACAGCACACACAGATCTTCCCGTAGACGTCAAACCCACCAACGAAGGAAGAAATCAGAATGGTCATTAGACGAATCAAGAACGGGAAAGCAGCAGAACCCGACAACATATCAGCTGAAGCACTGAAGTCAGATATCAAAGTAAGAAAGAAAGATTAGTTCAGCGAAGAGTTCTCTTTTCGGCGAATTCATTTTCAAAGCTGTACAATCGCAAATATATATACTTATTTTTACAGGGTGATAATAATACTGATAATAAACTTATGATATACATGGTGACAGTGAGGTTAAATAAACAAAGGTATTAGAAAAATTTTTTAGAAACAAGGAAGGTTTGATAGATAATGGCTTAGATAGTCATCGGGTAAGAGTAGCGCAGCACGATAAAATAACATAAAATGTTGAAACAGAGATGAAATGTAATCGGAATGATCGTTGAAATAAAAACAAACCGGTTGGGGGTACAAGATTTGAAGGGAAGATGGAAGGTGAAGCAGGTGGCTGTAAAAGAACGAGAGTAATGAGAAAGAGAAAAAAGAGAAAAAAATTTTAATACATTAAGACCACGGTAAAAGAAGAGGTGGTACAACCTCTTCTTTTACCGTGGATTGTGAAGACCTCGACATCTGAAGGAAAACACAGAATACAATGGACAGCTCAGAATCAATTAGACGATTTGGACGTCGCAGATGACCTAGCCCTCATATAGCATACACATGAACAAATGCAGATAAAGACAGCCAGTGTAGCAGCAGTCTCTGCATCAGTAGGCCTCAAAATACACAAGAGGAAAACGAAGGTCCTCAAATGCAATTCGGAGAACACCAATCCAATCACACTTAATGGAGAAACTCTAGAAGATGTAGAATCCTTCACATACCTGGGAAGCATAATCGACGAACAAGGTGGTTTAGATGCAGATGTAAAGGTGAGGGTTGGCAAAGCAAGGACAGCATTCCTACAATTGAAGAACATATGGAACTCAAAACAAATGTTTGTCGACCAGTTTTAAAGCGAGAATCTTCAATACGAACGTCAAGGCAGTTTTACTGTATGGAGCTGAAACTTGGAGAACTACAACAACCACAATCAAGAAAGTACAAGTATTTATAAATGGTTGTCTACGCAAGATACTCAACATCCATCGGCCGGATACCATCAGCAACAGCCTACTATAGGAGAGAACAAACCAGCTTCCAGCTGAAGAAGAAATTAGGAAAAGACGATGGAAATGGATAGGACATACACTACGCAAATCGTCAAACTGCATCACGAGATAAGCCCAAACTTGAAATCTTGTAGTGAAGCGGAAACGTGGAAGACCAAAGAACATATTACATCAAGAAATGGAGAGAGACATGAAAAGAATGGACAACAACTAGATAGAACTAGAAAGGAAGGCCCAGGGGACAGAGTGGGTTGGAGAATGCTGGTCGACGACTTATGTTCCATCGGGAGTAACAGGCTTAAGTAAGTAAAGTAATAGATGAAAACAATTTTGTTTACTTCCAATAAGTTTATTAATGTAAACATTATGATATCGTCCAGAAAAATTCAAAGATTAATTTCTTTTTTTTTGTTTGTATTAATGCTTTTGTTTTTGGTAACTGTTCATTCTTTTTTTTACAATAATAATCATAATACTTATAGTTTAAAATTTGTATGTTTCATTTGAAATAAGATAAACTTGCACGTTTTTCTGATTCCAGATTATGATCATCCTCATTATTATTATGCTTACTGATGAGTAGATTTTCTTCAAGCCAATGTAAATAATCTTTATTTAAACATGGACAAATTTCAGCAATTTGTCTTATATCATGTATTCCTCTTGGTTGTTGATTATATTGACCACGTTTATAATAGTATAATGTTGCACGTTTAGATGGTGAATCAGATGTTGAATCGGATATTTCACTTCGACGTTTGAAATATGCCAAACTTGCACGTTTGTCATATGTATCTGTATTCTAAAGACAATATAAATTATCAGTATAGGGTTTGTGGAGATTATTAAGTTTTTGATTGAGATCATGAACCAGTTGATGTCAGACCACCGTTGGAAACCTGGAAACACTGGACAGCCGTTTCGTTCCATTGTGCGACTCCTCAGCAGTGCACACCCATGATCACGGCTCGCAGGATTCGAAATGGTCATCCAGCACTTCCGAGTTTTCCATGGTGATCTAGTTTCAATGGATTCATGATTTCAACGACAAAAATACGGTTTTTTTTAAGAAAAAAAGTGTTTTGAATCATAAATATTCCGGTATATGATATTAATCTCACTAACCACAATTTAATTATTATCGAATTAACATAAATCAAATCAGAATATCAACAATTGAATAATAAAATACTTCCGGAAATTGAATTATTTATAACTACCTAGTAACTGATATTTTATTTCTTTTTTTCTACAGAAGGAAGGGGGGGAGGGTTAAGAATATTGACATTATCATTCATCATTGATTTCAATATCAATATAAATTAGTGATTAGCTAAGTGTTGTTCTATATTAATTATCAATACTATTCCATGTAATTAAATTAACAACAGAAAGATAATAGTAATCATATGGACATGACAAGGAAATAATACAATTTCCGTTATCCTTTTCTTCCCTAATGTAAAAAATGTATTTTACAAGCATAATAAATGAATGAGATTTTCTTAGATATAGATCCTCCTTATTGAAAGTTAATAAATTGAAGGATATGTCCCTTGAATATTAATTATATTGACTGTTATTAATGATAAGAATAAATTATAATTAATGAATGATTGTTATTACTTGAGATAAGAAAACAAAACATGAAATCAGAAGAGGGTTTTATGTAGATATTAGTTATTTGATAGTTAAATGCATGAATCAATCGAAAGTACATTACCACGGAAAACCTGAAAGCATTAGATCGCTGTTTTGTTTTAGGATGAGACTCTTCAACAATACACATCCATAATCCTGCCTAGTGCCATTCGAACTCAGGACATATCGGTCCCGATCACGAACGCAAACTGAAAAGGCATCCAATGGTGTTAATTTCTAACTTCAATTAATCCATGAAAATCATTGACACATCCACCATTGTCTTCAATAAGTTAATATCTCGCCACAGACCTTATTGAACTCCACTGGTCACTGCTTCTTACTAGAGCTCCAGGAAATACCTCTTGAAGCCAGTCACTAGTAAGCATATATTGATTAGTATCAGAAAAGTTCCAAAACGGGACAAAACGACCGTCCAGTGCTTCCAGTTTTTCCATGGTGATCTAGCTTCAGTTGACTCATAATCTCAACCATTGAGATTATATAAAACTTAATTGCTAATAAATTATTATTCAAATATCGATTACCTTCTGATCTTTTACCTAGTACGAGTTACGCAATGTAGTAAAGGTCGTACACTCTTGAAAGTGGAACAGTTAATTCTATCTAATTATACCATATAACATAGTATGTATGAGATTAGAATTTTCCGATATTTTTTTGGTCGAGGTTAGACTTTTACAGTGTTGGATGCCGGTTCAGTGACTAAGCGCGGTGGGATCATGGATGCGCATACTGGGAGGAAATGGCCGTCCAGTGCTTGCGAGTTTTCGTGGTGGTTTAACTTCAAACAAAGAATACAAAATCAAATTAATTTGGATGGTTTATACGAGAGATTTTTACTGTTTTTATTGGAGGGAAGGGGATTTTGTCACCCTTACTGTAAATAAAAGCAAACTTTTTCAAAATTGGTCAATTTGGATGTCAGTCATTCAGTCAATCAGTAACAACTTAGAACTTCGTACGTACATACATCAGTTCGAGTTGTCATACCACATTAGCACAGAGATACAGTTGTCTATTCAATTCCCATAGTGGTAGAGGTAGTATAAGTATAAGCAATAATCGAAAACATAAAGGTTTGAAGATGTAACAGAATGTCATTTTACTACAACCACAAGCTTTAACATTCCTGATGATTTAATTTATGTTAGCTTGCTCTCCTTTGGAGTAAGATCTTTATTCGATCATATTTATCATTTCAGTAAAGATATCATTTTCATTCCTACTTGTTATACTACTTATAACATAATGATAATACTAAAAAAACATAATTCATAATTCAAGTATTTACACAAAGTAATAATGAACAAATCAACTTACAGCACCGTTTATGTTTATTGTTAAAATGACAAAAGTGAATATAAACAATTGTATTAATGATAATTTGTTCATTATTACTGAAATAGAAAATAAGTAAACATAAAACACAATCAACAAATGAATATGATAATATTATGAATGATTGTAATATTATGGTAAATAACAACAAAAAGAAAAACCAAACGTTTAAGATACTTCTTCTTTCTACATGATAAATCAAAACAAGAGTTAATTATGAATAATATAGATGAAGTCATGGTTTCTCATCCGATGCTCACAGACTTATTTATTATTGAATGAATACATAACATTAAGAAATAGACATTGGTAAGTAAGACAATGAGAATGGTAATGATTGTCAGTATTTATATGTTGATATGTTTTTGATCTTCTGAAGACAAATACAAAAAAGATTAGATTATAAAACTGTTTTTTGTAAGCAATGATGGATAGTGGCTAGCAGTAGAATCCAGGACGCGCGTTTCGTCCTATTTGGGACTCGTCAGGTGGATGTTACATGTGATGCTCTATTTTCAACGATAATATGAACCAAGAAGTAGCATACAAACTAATATAGTGTTTAAATTAATGTATCCAATTGTTTATAACAGTAATGTTTCTTCTCCCAAAATATCTACTTTTAATGATGTATTTCTCTATACCAGATTTCACTAGGACATCGAAAAAAGTGATGTATTCTATCAACACATAAAAACTTACTACTAACATTAATTTAAGTAGTTTCATTTAGAATTTTGAATGATGTGAATTCATTTTCTCATTAACAAATGATATCAGCTACCGAATCACATTGATGATGTTAATCGATGATTGCAATATTAAAAACTGATCGAAATTCAGTCAGATGATCAGAAACGGGATAATCTAATATATTGTAAATTTAACTAAAATTCATAGGCATTGTACATTTAGTAGCTAGGCGAACATGATGAAACTTCAAGCGAACGGTACTATGTTCAAGTCCCAGAGTGAACTTTAACTCAGATGAAGGTAGGTCCAGCTGACAAATCATGAATACGATGGAACGCACGCCCTAGACTCTACTGGCAACTACATTGCATTGTATTCTATAATATTATTAGATGTTATTCTAACCAAATCTTTGAAATTATTTTTATGCATTGAAATGAAAAGCATTACATTTTAGAATGTTCCAGAAGAGACTAACTTAAATAATGGAAAGAAAAAAGTGATCAATTTGCAACTGGAGAACACTCATACTTATACAATTTATTACGAAATGAGAGTAATGCTGAAGTAAATCAACCTAAGTTTGAAAACTAATTATAATTCTTCAATCATACTACCATAATTGTTCCACATTATTTTGCATTTTACGTTATGAACTGACTTTGCTCACATGACTGTTGTAAGCCAGAAAGTACTGCTTGACTTTTGCATACCAATGAAAGACTCCCCTTCAGTGCACATGAGTGACACAGACATAAATCTAACTTAAATCCCTCAAGTTATGAGGTGAACAAATCATTTTTGAACCATTAATCCAGGATTCAGTGTTTCTTGTTCCTAAACCCAGGCTATACACGATTTTCAAACTTCAACATCAATTCTCTTAATCTTTGACAAGATTACTAAGCAACCATTTTCAATGGAATTCGGCGTGAAATAATTATTCATTACAAAATGTTAGTTTAAAATTGAATCCAAGTAAAAAAATCACTACAATTTTATTGCTAGTTTAATGTAAACATTTCTACTATTCTTCATATTAACCTGTCGTATGCTATACATAAATCCTACGAAAGCAAAGAATCATTCTAAAAATTAAAGTATTGTGTTAATGGATAGAATCATTCTGACTTCTATCCTAAATATACTTATTGAGAGATGAAGTTCTTATCATGTCAAGTTTGTTGAATTATTCAGGTTGAAAATCTAGACAATTGAAATCTCAACTAATTAAGTTATGACATTTGAAACTTTGTGTAATTATGAAAGTTTACATTTCGAATGAACCACATTTCTAATGCTTCTAAGTAATATTTCAGTTTCTTCCAATAGTTGAGATCATGAGTCAAATGAAACTAGACCACCATAGAAAATATGGAAGCACTGCAAGGTCGTCTCGTCCTAGTATGGGACTCTTATGCAGTGCGCATCCATGATACCGCCCCGAGGGACTTGAACTCAGGACCTATCGGTGTCGCGCACGAACTCTTAACATCTACACCACTGAGACGGCACCCAATGATGTTAATTTCTAACTTCAATTAATCCATGAAATTGAGCGACGCATCCACCGCTGTCTTCAGTGAATAACTATCTCACAACAGACCTCATTAAACTCCACTGGTCACAGCTTCTCACTAGAACTCCAGGAAATACCTCTTAAAGCCAGATGTTGTTTCCTTGACGATAACTGGAAAAAGCCTTCCATAAATTGTAAAACGATTTAAAATAAATAAAAAAGTTGAAAAACGTGACAAATTTTGTCTATTTTTAGTTTATACACTTCTTGGAAATGTTTAATAGACGAAAACAATCAGTCATTCAGTGTTTCTACGTCTTTCATGATGGTCTAGCTTTAATCAACTCATGAATTCACCTATTAAAATTTACTACAATCTCCACAAACTGCTCCCCTCTCTGAAGAAAAACATGTTTCATTCAAACCATTTCCATGATATGAAATTTTTAAGAAGAGTAAACGACACAGTGAAGATTTAGCAGGTTCGAATGTCTTAATTATCTTCTTTATTCATTTTTATACTAAACAAAATGTTTAAAATTATGAATTTATTACTTCAGTTTGTTTTAGTTACCATACATTGATGTGTGGGCGCGAATGATAATGATTGATTGTTTGCTTAGTCAAACATGTAGATAGTTTGACAGTTGTTAGATGAGTTATATATTCCCCTATCCTTATTATTATTGATTGATTGATTGATTGATTAATCATTGTTATTGGATCGTGTCAGGTTTTTGGTGTGGAAATATATTTACGTCCTAATCAGGCTAATCACATGTTCTTGATCATCTGAGTTATATTGAAGTCCTGTAGAATAGACACTGGGAAGGGAATCTAGTGTAGATATTCGGTTAAGGTAAATTAAGAACCCATACGTGTAGATGAAGTAAAATTGAGCGTAATTAAAATGTTTCGTATGCTAAAATACATTTTGTTGTTGTTGGTGGTGGTGATGGTGGTGGTGGTGGTTAATTGTTTTACAATTAACTACAATCATAACCATAATTATTTCGTAGTCCATTAAAAATGACAGATAAGAAAAAAAATACAAGACTAAATGACGTCAGATCATTTCAGCAGAAGTACACATATAGATACAATAATGGATAGGACGATACCAAATATGAAAATACAAACAAACAAACAGACAAACAAAAAAGAGAGTAACTTCATTAATCACTAAATAAGTAAATATTGTTTGGTTAAAAAAGAGATTTTTTCTTTTTTTTTTTGATATCTGTCATAAGGGTTGATTATCCATATAAATCATGACTAGTTACAATTACTACGAATTATGAAATAAAATTAATCGTTTCTATTTTTCTTTCCCATGATGAAATCATTGATTGGTTACTATACATCAACAGTGAAATAAACTATCAGTAATATAATATACTTTGTATAATGGTGAATAACTAGACTTGTATTTCATATGAAACACGACTAATTGACTGGATATACTTTTGTTTTAGTGTTAATATTCATCAAGATAGTACAAGTATTTATAGTTAGTTATCTATGTAAGATAAGCAAAATTCATTGGCCGGATACCATCAGTAACAGACTTTTGTGGGAGAGAACAAACTAACTTTCAGCTAAGGAGGAAGCCGGAAGAACACATTACGCCGAGAAATAGAAGCAGATATGAAAAGGATGAATAACAAGTGGAAAGATCTCGAAAGGATTTCCTAAGACAGGGTTGGATGGAGAGTGATGGTGGGCGACCTTTGCTCCTCGATGAGGAGTAACAGGCGTAAGTAAGTAAGTTAATATTCAGACTGGAACTATGACTTATTTCCTATTATTCGAAACTTTGCTAGTAGTAGCACAGTGGATTATGCATTGACGATGGCAGGATTCTAATCATGTACTCACCCTGGATGGTGAGCAGATAGAAGTAGTCGAGAAGTTCGTGTATCTGGGTAGCTGAATAAGTGCTGGTGGTGGCGTGAGTAATGAGATCAATGCACGTATAATGAAATCCACAGTTGCTTATGCCAATCTGGGCCATCTTTGGCACCTTCGTGATGTTAGCCTGGCCCTAAAAGGTCGGGTCTACAACGCGTCGGTGAGAGCAGTTCTACTCTATGCTTGTGAAACCTGGCCTCTCCGAGTTGAGGATGTTAGAAGACTCTCTGTGTTTGATCATCGTTGTCTCCGAAGGATTGCTGACATCCAGTGACAACACCATGTTAGTAATGCAGAGGTTCGGCATCGTGTGTTCGGGCACAGAGACGATAATCCAATTGGTGTCACCATCTTGAAACATCGAATTCGGTGTCTTGGACACATCTTACGAACGTCGACCCAGAGAATTTCACGTCGTGCATTATTTGCCGACTCTGGGATTGGTTGGGAAAAGCGGAGAAGTGGTAAGTGTATGACACGGCGTCGTGGTATGAAACGAGGCTGTACAGGACTGGTTTCTGTTGGTCCTTCACGACTCCCTGGCTGAGGTCTGAGAGATGGTGCTACACAGTGGCTACAGACGTTATCAGATATGGCTCAAAATAGAAGCCAGCGGCGATCCTCCTGCAACCTTTTTTTACTTTCTTCATAAAAAGTGGTTGTTTCCTCCTTAATTGAAAGATTTCTTCTGGTTGTACCTTTCCGTTCCACCCATTATTATTATTATTACTATTATTAATACACACTACCCTACACTAATCTGTGGTCGTTATTGTTCTCCTTTTTTTACGCTCCTTATCTTTTTTTCTTTCTCTTCGAATTCTCATTGTTTTGTGTGGCGGATATATATTAGCGCTCTCTTGTACCACTATTTATGTGTTCAAATAAATAAATAAGATAAATGATGTTTTAAGTGATGTGTATCAGGTTCAAGTC